CCCCCCCTGGTAACTTGTGTCCTCTTTCATAGAAAGACTGGACATTGTGTTAAACCTTCCCCATGGGTATTTCCATCCCACTGTGACCAGACTGCCTGAAGTCCTGCTAGCCTAATTTGGAGCTATCAGTCTGCCTTGTAGCTGTACCATGCTGCAGCCACATCTGACATTAAGACTCAAGATACACCACAAAACTATCCACAGCTTTGCTTGTCTCAGTGCAAAGTCACAGGGACAAAGACACAGGATTACCCTGCCTGGGCACATAACAGTAAGCTGATCTTTAGGTTTAGTTTGTTTGTGTTTCTGCCAGTAAAGTTTAGGAAATTAAATTCAGCAAACAAAGGCAGTGGGTATAGAATTTAGCTTATCCCATGGTGGACAGAAGAGAAGAGTGTGCAGGGGAGAGGAGGAGGCATGGACTGTAGGCTGAAGAAAGGAATTGGGGCAGTGGAGCAGGGAGAATGACATGGTGAAGCAGAAGCTTGTTTCCATAATGAACTTTAAATGCTTGAAGTTCCTTACACATAAAACCTGGGAGATCAGGCGCATCACTTGGCTGGAGTCTCTCTATACAGTGCAAGGAGATCTGAAATTAGCTGCAGAAAGTCTATGGAGTCTTCATCCCAATATTAAAGGTCTTTATCCCAATATTAAGAGTGTCATCTGTTACTACCCTCCTTTATACCTCCTCTTCCCCTATTTATAACACACACAGCCTGTTTCTCCAGATTTCACACATCTAAAACCTGTGGCCCCAGATTTTTCCCAAAGCTATTACAGTGCCCTCTACTCAAGCTTGTGGGTAGATAAATCTGTGCCAGTTACAGTAGCTTCTGGACTGGGCAGATAGTTCTCTGTTTGGTTTCTTTTGCTGGAGTGTGGTATACTGAGGGTTTAAATCTGGGGTTGCATGTTTTTGCCACCTCCATTTTATGAGCAGATTTGATGCCCTTTTACTGATGGAGAAGAACACAAGCTACAGGGTTGACATTGTTTTTCAGGCACTGGTTTTATTAATTTCACTTCAGTAACGAAAACAGAAAGAAACATAATTCCAACAAGACAAGAATTTAAGCTACAGCAGTAGAAACATCAGTTACAGCAGGATTTGTATCACACTGAACTAATTTCTGCTTTAATATTAAAAAGGTGCTTTCACTTTAGTGCAGTAAAAAAGTACAAAAGAAAGGAAAAATGTTATTTCCAAGCAACAAAGTTTACTGTGGGGATAGGTTTTGGTCTTTCGTTTTGTGACTATTAACATCACAAGACAGTGTCCAGATTATAATAGCTGATAGGACAAAAACTAACAACTAACAGAAGCAGTGTTTGATGTTATAAGGCTTGAAGGAGAAAAGTATTTGCACCACCTGGATTAAGACATCTGATACCTAAATGAAGTGGCTTTTCTATGTTCCTCCTGCAGTTGGATGGATAATCTTCCCATTTAAATCATACGTCTGCTTCTGACTTGGACATCTCTCTTTCTCTGCTGACCACTGAGGGACCTTGAAGAGATTTGCTGTTAGTTTAGGCATCTGAATCATGTGCCTAATGTTAATTAGTGTGGAATCCCCACTTGTGTCCTTATGTTGCCTGGAGGTTAGTTGAACTTCCAGATTTCCAGGAGCAAGGCCTTACCTGCATGAGTGGTGCTGTGTGAAGTAAATGGGGAAAAAAGCAGGACAACAGTTCACTTGTATAAAGAGTGTTCACCTGTACTTCCTTACAGTTTGAAGCAAGTTCTCCCTTTTCTTGTTTGCTAACATCATGCTAACAATGAAACACGCTGGTGTCCTTGTCTGGAATGATGTTTGTGAACCAGAGCACCACTTTTCTTTTACAGTACTAGCATAAATATATGGCCATAGGACACCAATTGACTGATGGTCTTGAGTCTTCAATCAGCATGCAGTTCTAGCTGTGGCTCCAGCAGGCCATGAGCACTCTTCTCCAGGTACACTTCTCTGCAGTTGGCTGCTTTTGCAATTCCAAGGCTACTGTCTGCCTAAAAGTGTATCCCAAACATCACACTCAGGGTCTGTGAAGTGCATGTTTATCTATCTCATGCATGAGCCTAACTTGACACACTTACTGCATCTGCCATGTGAAGTCTTCCTCTATACATGTGATTTACCTGCCAAGAACTAGGGAGGCCTCCACTCAATACTGTGCACACAGTCTCCAGAATCCTTCAGAGAGTCCTGGTACTTTTTTAATACAGAATGTTGCATAGCAAACACCAAGGTGATTGTCATTCTGGCCTTGCAGATCTCTGCTCAGGGGCTTTTACTGGTTAAGTGCAGCTTTCATTGGGGAAAAACTGCACCCACAAAGCCCACTTTGGAAAATGTTAGCAACTGAACCATGATATGGCAGGCATAACATTAAAGAACTACAGTAAAAATACTATAACTTAACCTATAGTCAAAAGGACTATGTTGAAAAATGACTACACTGTTAACAGCTAAGTCCCTGAGTTAATTGGCCCTGTGAGATAAAGGTGTGTCAACTCTCCTATCAGAGGAGACATATAACGTTGATCTGTCACATATTTATGCTCAAATTCATTTTCATGGAAACATCTTTTATTCATGTAGGGGAAATAAGAGGCTGGAAATGAAGAAAACTGCAAGCCTCCCCCTATGAAATGCCTGTGACCATGTTGCAGAAAGAATACAGTCACTTCCAAAAGTTGCTCCATTAATGCTGAATGCTAAACAGGTATATCTGTCCTCAAAGCTTCATCCCAGTGTTCATACACCAGTAAATAGCTCTTGTGAGATGACATGTTACTCCTTAATGTCTTCAATACTTGTATTGCCCCCAGATAAATCTCACTCGCATTGGTTCATTGGACAGAATTTGTATGAAGAAACAGAATTATACTGTTTTAGGCCCCACTCAAATCTTGATGTTCTGGAGACCTCCATGATCCTCTTAGTTGGAGAATGGAAAATACTACATATAACCCCAGGGAACAGTTAAGCACAAAAATTGAGGGTCATTCAGTAGTGGTTGACAGAAAGACCTTCGATAGCATCAGGCGGTCCCTAAGGCAAAGCAAGTGACACAACATTTCCTAACTAACATTTTGGGGTATCTTTACAGCCCAGTAGAGATGTCATGCTCTGCAGTTGATGACGTGAATGTGGAAGTAACTCTTTCTAGTTTCTCACGATAAAGAGCTGGGCATTTCCTGCAGAGGTGGGCAGCAACGTGCTTTCGGAAGAAGACACGGAGGTACTTCCTAAACTTTTCTCCAACAAAGGCATAGATCACAGGGTTGATACAGCAGTGGATCATGGAGATCGTTTCTGTTATTTGGATCGCTTTGTGCAGCTGACCTTCGATTTCACAAGTTAGGACAAAAAGTACACGTTGAAATGTGTGCAGAAAAGACGAAATGTGGAACGGTGTCCAGAAGATGAAGTAAAAGATCATGATCACAAAAATAAGCCTGACTGCTTTCTGTTTCTTCTCATTCTTACACCTCAGTAATGTTTTTAGAATTTGTGAGTAACTGAAAATCATAATAACCATTGGAACAATAAGTCCCAGGATGTTCATCTTTAAAGTATAGGAGTACTTCCAGTTGATAGTGGTATCACTTGGATAATGAGCACTGCAAGTAAAACGTGCATTTTCCTTCTGAGTTCTGTGGAATACCATCCCAGGAACAGAAGCAAACACTGCAACAGCCCAAGTGACCACGCTGGTGAGAATGCCGTAGGTAACTGTCCTGGCTTTCAGAGCAAACACTGCGTGCACTATGGCCAGATACCTGTCTAGGGTCAACAGGATTATGAAGAAGATCCCACTGTAGAAGCCAAGGAGGTAGACACCAGAGAGAATTCTGCACAGCGCCTCCCCAAAAATCCAGTCGTGAACAGCATAGTAAGCCCAGAAAGGGAGAGAAAAGACAAAGAGCAAATCAGAAATTGCCAAATTGAGCAGGTAGATGTCAGTCATACTCCTCAGTCTCTTGTATTTTACCAGGATAAGGACAACAAGCATGTTGCCTGTGAGGCCAAATATCACCACCAAAGAATAAAGCGGTGGCAAAAGCTTTGCTGCTAAGTGCTTTTCCTCTGTTCTCTCACATGGTGCTGCATCACCATAGTCATATGTTGTTGTCTGGTCCCAAAAGTCTGAATCCATGGTGTGGTTTTCCATGGTGTGTTGGTCTGGAAAGGAAGAGAAGGATGTTAAACTAGAGGAAACTCCAAGCTTGGCAGAGACAGGAATGAAACACGCTGGTGTCCTCCTCTGGAATGCTTTTTGCTGTTGAGCACATGAGCATTTCTGCCTCAAAGTGTGGATGAGAATGAAATCACAGAGGTCCCAGGAAACCCATCTCTGTACCTGTGAATCATAGAATGGTTTGGGTTGGAAA